GGTTGGGGTTGGGGTCGGGGTCGGGGTCGCGGTTGCGCACGCCACGATGAGGAGAGCGGTTGGAAGGAGTCGGGGCGGTCGGACACGGCGCGTGCCACGCCGGGTCGCTGTTGAGCGGTTGCCGCCTTGCGCTTTCCACACACACATCCACGGTGGACGTCAGCCTCTTTTCTCCTCTCTAGAGCTGGAAAAAAAGCTTAAAGCTCGCGAGCTAAATGAGTAGCTCGTGACTCGGCTCAAATCGACTCGAACTCGAAGAATAACGAGTCGAGTCGAGCTTTAGTTTAAGATCGTCTATAGACCAAGTTAAACGAGCCAATCTCACGAGTACTCGTGTAACTCGTTAGGCTCGATACAAAAGATCAGCCACTCCCAATACAAAAAAAAAATCAGCCACTCAGCACCCTATGTCTCAGCCGCACAACACAAGGCCTAGTCATTGAAGGCCCAATCGCCTAGGAGACTCATGCGTTACAAGGAAACTACTATTGTTTAGTGATATATATGTTTAATATATACATAATCATTTTTATAATATATGAGGGTTTTATGATCATATCTTTAACGAGCTTAACAAGCTAAACGAGCCAGCTCGGGAGTTATACGAGTCGAGCCAATCTTGGATTTAAGCTCGTTATAATAACGAGTCGAGTCGAGCTAACTCGTTAACGAAACAAGCTCTAGCGAGTCGAGCCGAGCTGGCTCGACTCGGCTCGAATTCCAGCCCTACTCCTCTCCTTGGATATTCCACACATTTCTCTCTCACACAATCTCCAGAAAACTTCTCGGGTATTCCAGGCATTTCCCATGCAATGCAATTAGGATTTTTGTAAAGGAACGAAGGATTCCTCGTCCGGTAACCGGACGTTTCGACGAGATGAAGTTTGTGGGAACTGAAGGTTGAAGCTACACAGGGAGGTTTCATTTCTCTTTTTGCAGAGGGGAGTTGAAGGTTAGGGCGGGAAGTGGGCAGTGGAGATGGAAAGGTGTAAACAAAAGTGTGGGGTTTAGTTGGATGTTTTAGGTTTTTCTTTAGCTTTGATGCGAGAGGATTGAGAGTAGGTTGAGTGTCATTTGCCTCCGGTGTGCTCTCGCGCGTGGATATTTCTACTCGCGCCTTGCTTGCCTATGAGTCATAGTTTTCATGAAAAATACCACGGTCATCTCTTGGATGAAACATGTTTGAAGAGACATTGTTTTATTCTTTTTTAAAGTATTTCCTAACATTTGTATTTGACCCATCTTTTAAATTTCATTGAAACTGGCGAACATTTTTTTGGGTCCAGTGTGTGCTATGCCATGTCGTTGTTGAGCGGCGCCGCTTACAGCGCCCACGTTGACATCAGCATCCTTTTCCCATTGGATATTACCTTATTTTCCTCACATGTATGCAAGAATCCATCTCAGAAACTTCCAAGAAAAAATTGAAGTCACTGAGTTCCTACATTGATTTATTTTTTGAAAGTCTCGTCCATGCAAATTTAGGGCTAGACTAAAAGGTTTTGTTTTCCGCATAACATTGTCTATGCATGTTATTCCAACCCCTCAGTTGTGACGTTCTTTTGACAGATCACGGGTTTGTCGCCCCATTAAATATGAAGATATGAACTTTGCCGAAGTTCGAGGTTAAAACTACTTTGGTTGAGGATTCAAGTTGGAAGTGGGGACTTTTCTTTTTCCGGCATGTGTGGATACTGGAAAATAGGTCCGGCTCGAAACCCCGCACGGATTTCCCTGCAGAGCCAACAGGTGTGTGACACGCGTCCTAGTAGGTCCCACCTCTCAAAATATATATTTTCACATCTGCTGCTAGGCCACCGTGTCCATTGGACTGAGCTCGCTCGCGCGTCCATTGGCTTGTTGCCGTCCGTGCCCTTCTCCTTGAGCAGCACACTTCGTGTTTCTGTTCCGGCAATGACACCTAGAGACTGGTGCACTTTGCCTTGCCGTGCTAAACCTTGTGCACGGACATGAGTAGAGGATAGTGAGGTGGCCGAGGAGCACCGGCGACGGGCAGACAAAGCCCCTCCTCGAAGCTAGGGAGGGTGAAAAGTGGTCAATGGAGATGAAAACGCGTAAACAAAAGTGTGGGGTTTAGTCGGATATTTAGTTTTTTTTCCTTTAGATACGACGTGAGGGCCTTGAGAGTAGGTTGAGTGTCATTTGCTTTCGGTGTGCTCTCACGCGTGGAAATTTGTACCCGCGCCTTGCTTGCCTATGAGTTATAGTTTTCATGAAAAACGCCATGGCCATGTCTTGGATGAAACATGTTTGAAGGGACATAGTTTTGTTCTCTTTGAAGTATTTCATAACCTTTGTATTTGGCATATTATTTTATTTCATTGAAACTTGTGAACTTTGCTTTAGACGTGGTGTGTGCTATGCCATGTCGTTCTTGAGCGGTGTTCCTCACAGCACCCAGGTTGACATAAGCATCTTTTTCCCCTTGAGTGTTATTTTTCTCTCTCTCTCTCTCACAATGTGTAGGGAAGAATCCATCTTAAAAAAACTTGCAAGAAAAAACAAAGTCACTGAGTTCCTATATTGATTTGTTTTTTGAAAGTCTTGTCCATGCAAATTCGAGGCTAGACTTAAGGCCTT